GTTTCTCTGCACCCGATTTGGATCGGCCAGGAGTCGTTCGAGAGCTCTCGACTTGCTTGTTCGGGGCTGTGTCAATCGGCTCGGCCTCGGTGCTGTGGGCTGCGCTAGCGGCGTATTTGTCTGATTTATTGCGCTGTCCACATGTTCCCGCTCCGTAGTTCCGGGCCCAGGCTCGTCGCTAGCCGTCTTTCGCGATCCGCTCTCAGCTCGCTCCGAAGAGCTCCCCCGAGCCATTCTTGGAAGCGGCCCCTCTACAGTATGACCAGCAATGCTGACGCTGTTGTGAGGACAGACTTTTACACTTCAGGTTTCGGACCATGAATATAGTGTTCAAAGTAAATGTTATTCAACGCCCTAGTTGTGTTTCGACAATCCTAGTCGGAGCGGACGTACTCTTCCACTCTTTCTTTCTTGCGCACAGAGTAGCCTAGACGATTCCTATCGTAACGGTTAGTGCACTTAGTCGGCAGACATGAACTCGTAACTGGTAAGGCAGACGGAACGCGTAAACGCCGCACAGGTATATCGAGACCCGCAGAAAGAAGACTGATCAATAGTAAAAGTGCTTTTACTGACTCAACCAAAGCAGCCGTGCTTTCCGCACCTTCATATTTATAGTTCACTAAAACAATAGTTTGGTAAGCTCTTGCTTGGTGATGAGGCTACCCTGTCCTATGCACTGCAGTAACGTATAAGTCAGTGGATAGTGAGCGGCGCTATATCACATCTCGTAAGTTATTCACGATGGTCGTTGCGGTCCCGCGTAGCTCAGTGGTCTCAACGACTGACTGGCAACAGTCGAGTTGCGGGTTCGAGCCCTACTAGGGATCCGATGGAATGCGCACTGCTGATGATTCCCGAAAGGATGAAACGCACGTACAGTGCTTTTCCGAGCATGTGGTGGCTGTCTGAGTGAGTCTAGATGTGACGAATTTCTACCAATAGCAAATGTATAAAATATAGTTAAGGACGTATATTGGTTGGCACATGAGTTGCCATACAGTGGTCCTATCTCCGCGCAGAAATGGGGTTGGGTCGGTTAGGTTAAGATGTTGGGCACATCACAGTTGTGTAGCGTGCTCCGTAGATGAACCATTGGTATGAACATAGCTCAGGAGCCAAACTGTTGACTTAAGGAGAGTTCGGATTATACCATGGTGAGAATGGAGCGAGTTCATCAGAAACTGTGCGGATAAGTTGGCCGCATTATCACTGAGGAAAACTCCGTTGAGATCTGTAAAGATGTGTGGGCTCATGGCGGCAGTTTCGGTAGGGGGTGGGGGCTCCGCTTCGAACTGTGCTGTTTAGACCTTTGCATTGCGATCTTGTTGTTCGGGTCAGATAGTGCACTGGCGCCGGTGAACTCCGTTGAGTTTGACAGGGCTGTTCCCACTTAGTAGCAGGAAAGCACGTAGTAAAAGCATCTATGCCTTTAACTCGTTAACGGTTTGGGGGGGGACAGTTATCAAAGACTGAAAGCTAGACAAGAATTAGACACATAAGGATACGAAACCGTTATGCAACGAATGATCCTCTGTTCACGCGACTATTCTGAATGATCCGTAGCGTCCAACAACAATACAACGAGTTCCTCGGCATCAGCCTCTATCAAATGCTGTTGGTTTTAAGGTGTCGCAACGGTATTCCTAACTTTTGTAGGCACTTCAGGATGCATACGTATGCCTCAGTCGTACGGAGGCTGTTCTTCTTATATGTTTCGTCGACTTGCTTTTGTTGCGTAAAGTGCTTTTCCAGCGCGACAGGCATTGTAACACTGTGTATTTGTTCGGTATTATGTGGCCAGACCTATTGAGGTTCGCTGTGTTCTTTTTCTAGTTTCTACTGTCAACGCGTTCGGTAGGACCGGTTCCAAGATTGCCAACATCGCTTCGTCGTTCTACAGTGAACTATGTAATCCAAGAGGCGCAGAAGGAAATGAACGAACTCGAGGCAGAAGTTCGAAAGTTGACCGACGAACTGCATTCAACCGAATTAACACCGACCTCTGGGACAGAGGATATAATCATTTCATCGGTATGTGTATAGAGGACAAATTTTGTGGAAGGGTATTTTAGTCTGCCAACTGTAGCCTAGTTTGTTCACCATGTGTCATTGCAAAGAGAGTTTAAATTCAGAGTTGTTTGATATTTAAATCCACTCTCAGCTAAGAAAATATTTCTAACCACAACCTACTATTACTTAATATACATAATACCAGATAACTTTATGAACATGTGCTGAGGACAGAGAAACGTTATTCCAAGAACCCAGTTTCCAATATGTTGCATATTCCAGCCTCCCAGTGGTCGTGATGGAGGTGAAGAAGACCCCAATTCAGACAATCAGTTAACGCACGTCCCATTACGCAGGCCCGCTGCTATCGAGGATAGCACTGTTCAGACGCTAGAGCTAATCCGGACATTGAAACCTGATTGCATTGAAAAATGGTATCGAAGTGAGGAGATTGCTCCGGAAAACGATGTTTGTCAGTTCCAGCCACTCGGGTAAGTGTCCACAGTGGTAAAAAATACCGGAAGAACAGCATTTCTATAAATCGATTAGCTGAGAATGGTAAATTTCTGCTGGTGTAAGAGTTCCATTCGGTGACTGGATTGTGCATTATTTCGTCACAAACATACTTATTATTCTATTTTGGCTTTATAAACCATACATTGTAACCCTTCCTGTGAATCGCAGACGTGTGATACCGGATGTCCTATGCTTTGACGACCCCAGTCAACGTCAGTTGGCGATCGAAGGTTTCCTCAATGAAGCACACCGCATTCGCTGCTTGTTGCTGCGTTATCTCAAGTGGCCTGATGATATCAATACAAACAGTGCAACGTCGTCAAAGGATCAGCATTCCTATAAAAACACCGGAGCTGCCGAATTCGGTCGAAAACCGGAAGCTAGCAATTACCTATCCGCGCCGGAAGTTTTGCATGGAGACCTAGACTTTCTGCTGCAGTCTGGTAAGCACAAATTTGGGTGCTAGATAGTACATTATTCATCTTACGCCAATAGACCCCTAGTTAAAACTGATTTGGGAGAGGACTGTCGTGAATGGGACTGCATCAGCTACAGGCACAGCATATGTTAAATGGGCTTACGCAGTAGTGAGATCTAATTTGCATCAACCAATTTACACCTACTAGTAGATACCTGCGAAGACAAATGTAGTGGGCTAAGGTTGAACTGAGGCCACCAAGACACACAACTGCAAGCATTCCTCATCCATTTTCAGAGTACCCATTTGCCTCCAAAGATCTGGTACATTGCTTGAGGCAAAGTTATCGAGTTATTTCTTCCACTGTTGTAGGATTTCTGTAGTGGTAGTTTGAATCCGGGGTCACTAACAATTCCCTACGAATATGAGAGTTCCAATGTTCTTTTTGAAACAATACTATTCCATCTGAATATCCTTGCAGTGGGTTAAGGTAAGACGGTCAAAAAGCAGTTCCTTCATGTTTTTATAATCTCTTTAGAGGAGGAAGCGGGTAGAAATAGGCCGGGCACAATATTAACGGAGACTAAGGTTGGTTTAAACGTGTGGACCAGTTCGTTCAACAGAGGTAGAAATTGCTTCCAAGAATAGCTCGAAATATTATTTGTCCTGGAATGTGAAGGAGTATTGCAACCGAAGGCTCGACACCATGTGCATGAAAAGTTGACAATGTGCACATGACACCGGTGATAACTGGATTGTAGACTCTAAAACGTCTCTAAATGCTAACGCCGTTATGTTTATGGTTGAAAGCAATAAGAACAATGGGATTACAGCATGTTCAGTGATGAGCGAAGGCGACTAAAATTAGCAATCTGTTGTACTGTCCTCAAAAGCATTTCCATCCAACACGGTAGAGAGCTCTGACAACAGGCAGGAACGAGATCCTTCGCACTGAGGCTAGTTATATGGGGAAAATATCAAAAGGCGCATAGCTGCCGTAGGCAAACGGCGCATAGAATGCGCTGGTTCGTGCAAGCCAAATAAGGACCAAGCTAAGTACCAATCGGATGTAAAAGTAGAAGGGTAAATGTCTACTTTTGATTTCGCGGAAAGCTTGCGATCGTTTTTCACAACTAATGACTTCTAACTACCAACCAAAGTGACCATATTAATAAGCCAAAACAAAGGAACGTTTGCAGTCAGAAATAAGCTTGTAATATGCCCCTGAATATTTGGTTATTCTAATAAATTCGGATAGACTGTATTCACCAAGACGAGTGATTAATCTATGGGTACTAAGCAGTGCCGGTAATAGTTTCTTTAAGGGTGGGGATGTTCATCTATGTTAACTACATTGCACAGACTTCCTTAGTGCGGCAATATATACTGTGTTCACCATCAAGTGGACCGTTTGCAAATCCCATTGGACATTTTGTAAACCACGTTGGACGCTTGCAAAACATATTGGATCTATTGCAAACCAAATAGGACACAATGTATTTTAAGCAAAATATCGGCAAGTTGTTAGCAAGAAATGAGGAGTAAAGCGCCTCGACAATATTCAGACCACATTGTGGCCATGCTAATGCGACCGAATAGTGTAAACCACCGGTGCCACTGTAAACCGTTCTAGTGGTCGTGAGCCTCGACATTTCGAGCAAAGGCAATGACAGTGTTTTCCTCTCTCTCTCTCTCTCTCTCTCGCTCTCCATTGGACTTCGCTTAGGTTGTGCTCCTATGCTTGTACGCATGAACCAGTTACCTGTGTGATTATTGGACAGTCAGACTACCGAATCGCATGGTCTATTATTACTCAACCGAATGTTACCTAGCTTTGTGCACGCATAATAAACAGTGAAGGATGATGTATCACGGGATAAAAGCAAGTGCTTGACACTTCCCGTAGGATGGTTGAGGTGAATATGATGAAATCAAACTATATCTGGGTCATCTACCAAACGTCTGTCGAGATGAATAGTTTGATAATTAATATCAGTGTAAAATTAAAAATAATCATCGAGCGTAAACGTTCAGAAAGACACTGGAGTGCAGTGATCGTTGATGTAAGGAGTGAGAAAAGTAAAATATGGTCGCTCACTTAGGTCCATTCGATGCACAAATTCTGTTGAAAAACATGCTTGGAGTAATCCACAGTAGGGGAGCTTAGGTAACAAAATGTTGGGAGCTCAGAGCAACATCTAATCGTTTTTTGAAAACATCCAAGGTAGGAGGGGATACAACTGAGTCTGGGAGTGCGTCCCAGGGTTGACAAACCCGGACGGAAAAGTAATTCCGTCGACACTCTAGACGGCTATATTGTTCCTTCAACTTTAAGCAGTTACCCCTGAGCTGCGTGTTGTGACTGAGTTTCAGCAAATGGCGGCATACGTGGTTGGGGTCACTCAATATTTGATACGCTAATATGCGATCCCCGCACAGCCTACGATAGCGCCCGCTGAAAATTCCCAGCAACTTCAGCCTTCGACGGTAAGAGTGATAGCGCAGGCCCTTTACATTCTTTGTTGCTCTTCGTTGTGCTGCCTCTATCGCTTCTAGGTCGCGCTTCAACCAATGTTGCCAAGCTTGGATAGCGTATTCAACATGCGGGCGCAGGTAGGAATTGTGCAGCATTGGGAAGATTGATGGGTTAAATATCCCGAATGCTCTTCGCAGCATGCCGACGTGCTGGTTGCCTCTTTTCGCAGCTACCTCAGCCTGTTTTGAACAGTTGAGGTCGTTCTGTACGATCACACCAAGGTCACGTTCCTGGGAGCTGGTCTGCAATCCGTTTGTCCCAAACAAATAGGTGTAGTTATGTCTATGGCGTAATTGTACAACACGACATTTGTCTACGTTGAATGGTAGGGTGTTTTGAACTGACCAGTTCGACACTGTGTTAAGATGTCACTGGTGCCATTCGTGGTAGTCCGGTCCTGTGATCCTTCGCCATATCTTGATATCATCAGCGAAAAGTAGGAAATCGGAAGCAATTGATCTCGCCAAATTGTTAATGAACACCAAAATAGACGAGGTCCAAGCACCGAGCCTTGTGGTACCCCATATGTCACATCGATTGCACCAGACAATGATTCTCGGACTTTCAACACTAGCCGTCGCTCTTGCAGAAAATTGCCAATCCAACTCAGGATTGGGTCGCCAATGCTGTAATTCCGAAGCTTCCGAAGGAGAATTCGATGGTCTAAGCGATCAAACGCTTTTGAAAAGTCCAGGTAGATGACATCGACTCCAACTCCATCATCAACAGCTTCAGTCCAGCTATTACGTGTAACCAATAGGTTAGTATAATACGAATGTTTTGACGAAAGCCATGTTGCTCTGGGGCTATTAACTTGTCGCTTTCCGGGTATTGCATCAGCGCGTCTGCGATGATTGATTCCATCACTTTGGATAGTACTGGAAGTATTGTTATTGGACGGTAGTTGGCAGGGTCAATGCGGCTACCTCCTTTAGGGAGAGGAGTGATGACCCCTCGCTTCCATACTGCTGGAATGTGGTTCTCTTCTATACATCGCTGATAGAAAACAGCCAGTGGTTCTGCTAGACCACTAGCAACCGCCTGCAGACCCTTTGGTCGGATGTTGTCAGCTCCAGGATAACTGTGGATCCGCAATGATAACAACTTCTTCAACACAGCTTCCGCAATGAAGGCGATGTTTTCTAAATGGGGAGAATGTTTGGGCTCGTTACCTGCTGGAAAGTTTGGGAGTAATGAAGCCGTAGAAGATCAGCTGCTTCCATTGCTGATCACGTGCACCTATCAGCCGTTATTAGCACTGGAACCCCCCGCTTCACCTTTCGAAGGTCGTTAACGTGCCTGTACAGGAGTTTGCACTTCGTGCAGAATCGCTTCATTAGCTTCTGCTGATGAGTGACCTTGTCTTCGCGGATCGGTTTCACACAGAAGTTACGATGTGTCAAGTATGCAGTCCAGGTTTCGGCATTCGGGCAGTCCTGGTGATCTCGCCATGCCAAATCCCTCCGGGACATACATTTACGTGTTCTGCTCCTCAGAAATGACTTATGCTTGTTTTGGGGTTGGAAGGACTTTTGTTCCGATGCGTGTGCAATCAGTGTGCTAAATGTCCTTGTAAATGTTTGCCAGGCAACATCTGGGGGGCATTCGGTTAAGAAAATCCAAGATGTATCCTTAACAAGCTTAGATAATACGTTGTAGTGCGTGACAGTGTGCACTTTATCCTCCTCCTCCTTTTCAGGGTACTCCGCATAGCATATATAGTCAAATAGTAGAGTAACATGGTCACTATGACCCAGTGGTGTGCTTGTAACTACCCCGTCAACCATGAGTTCTTCATTAATTAGCACAAGATCCAGTATCGATTGCTTGTTAGCAGTTCAAAACCTGGTGGGAGAGGTTACGTGGTTGTACAGAGGGTGGCTAGCAATTAGCTCTTGCAAGCAGGCTTTAAACTACATACCGTCGGTTGCCGGCGTTTCTATGTCGTGCACGTTAAAGTCTCCCGCGATAGGAATGTGGGTGTAGGACTTGTTCAAAGCAACCTGAAAGAAGTGGTTCAGTTTGGAGTCTATTTCCGACGTTGAGTTTGGTGGGCGATAAATCACGGCTAGTAGACATGCGTCATTGTTTCGCAACCATAGGCGGCACCAAAGCGAATCGGTAGCTCGGATTTCCGGGTGATCGATAACTTCACATCGGAGGTTTGTATTATGGTAAAGAATCACACCGCCACCCCTTCCGGTTCTATCGGTCCGAAGCAGCGACATACCGGGTAAATTGATCTCAGAATCGGTTATCTCAGGGTTTAATCATGTCTCTGTAATCATGACGAGGTCCCGCGGTTGTGAGGCATGGAGTTCTCTAAGTTCGGCCAACTTGCTTAGAAAGTCTTGGGCGTTTGTGTACATGCAAGATAGGGCTTTTTGTTAGGAGTTCATTGATAGATGTCAAGTTTGTGTTCGTTTTTAAGCCGGCCGTTAGGTGGCCGGCCATTAATCGTTTTTGGTTTATGTATTTCAGTCATGTTGAATGGCATTATTGAGCGTTCCTGAACAGTCTTTTCAGTCGTGCTGTGCTCTGTCCATTTGTGTGCCGTGGGCGCTGTTGTGTTGGTCTCTCCGCAGGACTGTGCAAATAAAGAATTTGTAGCGTTTGCAAGTTCCATTGAATTGCGTCTGTCTTTTGGTCGTTCGCCTACTGCCTTTAGCCGGATTTCTGTTGGCAACCTAGCTCGAAACTTAGAACTGTGCGAAATTTTCATTTCGAGTGTTTTTCTCTCGAGCACCGTGCTAGCGAATTTCCATATTCTGGAACTGCTTCAAAACCCGTTGATACTTTACACTCATAATATATTCAAGTAGTAAACATCTCTCAAAGTAATTGCAGTGGCCTGCTAACTAGCTGCAATTTGATTACTCTCTTTCAGTGCCAATTACTGCGAATGGCTTTCTGGCATTCAGGACATTAAGTATTTCCAAATGCTATTTACTGCTTGGCACGGAACTCATTCTGCCAATTTCAGTATTTAGTGACTAGATATAAACATCCTTGTACGTTTCTTTCATTTTGCATTCTACATGAATATCGGCAGACTATTAAAAATCTCCATAGTACTTTAACTTATGTTTGATCATCACACCAGCGTAAAGTAAGATAAAGGATTGGCTGCTTAGTAAATGAAGTCATGTTTTGGGGCTATCCCCATCTCCTTGGATGTGTTTAATTGCTGATAACTTTACCGTGCCTATCGCTGCTACAGCTACCAAGTAGTGGCATAGTTTAATGCTTCGCATAATGGTAATGGTATTTCAGAGTCCAACAGCATTCCTTGACTTTCGCGCTGCCGCAGATTCTCACTGCGACAAAACGGACATCCAGAGCTTTTCCTGTCTTAGTACGCATTGGAAGCAAAAAGCAACATAACTTGATTATGTAGAGCACATTCTTTATGGAATTGGGATATTAGGGTTAAAAGAGGTGGACTGGCATTCAAAACACACCTGACATGATTATTGGGAGCCACGGGCACCTAAAGTCCAACCAATCACCGCTGAAAAGCGCTTAATCTACTTAGCACTGCCTTTCAAAGGTGATGTGATAGCAGAACGAACTACACGAAGGCTCTGCAATGCAACAGCGAGAAGCTAGTTTGCAGCTGACCTCCGCGTCAGCTTCACTTCTACGCCAGTCGTGAGTCAACATCTCAAGGACAGATTGCCGAGGTCGAATATTTCCTTCTATGTGTACCATTTTCCTTGCTCGTGTCGTGCAAGTTATATTGGAAAGACGACCAGGAGATTGTCTGAGAGAGTACGAGAACATTGACCGGCTTGGCTCTACACTGGTGTCAGAAAGACAGTAGTCAGCGCGGTGCTGGGGCATTTAGCGGACACAAATCGCCATGTGAATGTTCGAGAGGCCTTCCGGCCTCTCTACAAGATATCTGGACGCCACACGCGAGCGCTGCGATGTCGCCTATTAGCGACAGCGGAAGCAATTGCTATTCGGCTCCATAATCCCGAATTATGTGCCCAAAAGAAGTTTGTACAGGCTCTACAGCTGCCATGACCTCAAGCTTCCCCATGTTACGACACCACGCTTAACCCTTCCACTAATGATGCCCAAGCCAGTGTGGTCACTTGATCGCTTTAACCGGTCAATTCACTTCATTGATTCATCGTATTTAAATACACTGTGTTTGACTTATTACTATCATCTGTGGTGTGTTGGCCTGATGCGAACCACCGAAAACAAGCTTGTTCGCCTAACTGTCTTTTGATTCTGATTATAATGAGGAACCCAATATAGTATCTACTACTTGGATCCAACACAGACGGCGTGTAGTTAGTAGTTTCATTAACGATCTACTGTTAACCCAATAATATATCACGGTTGGTGCGTGACGAGATAATTGATCAATATGTTCGAACAGGTGGAAATTAATTGCAAAGCAGCATGCAACCAGTCAACTGGATACGTTCAAAAATAACGGTGTGGTGGAAAAAGAGAAGCATGTACAAGATGGATTGGAGAGTCATTTGGAAGTAAATCCATTTTGTTTGAATTGCGATGCACAAACTCAATTTGGGCCTCGATTCGCTTTGAAGGTAACTTTGTCCAATTGGATCTCTGCGGTCTTAAACGATGAAGCAAATATACGGTGACCCACTTTTCCACTGTCTCTCCATGCGCCTTCCCGTATTTTATGTGGGTGTGTGAGCGAACCCAAGCAGCTGCACGACTTGGGACAATGTAGGCTATCACAATTCCATCAAACTCAGTCTAGCTTTATTGGCCTACTACCGCAATTTGTTATCAAAGAATGCCGCCTAAGGCGATTGGACGAGTGCTTCTAAATGACCCTATAAATATAGGTAAGATTTGGTTGAGTCGTAATACATGAAACATTGGGGATCTTTCATCCACTTTATGAAGACAAAAGGAAGACATAGAGTGCGGTATGTCGACATTTCGACTGCTCTCATCAGTCGCATATACAATACAAGCAGAACACATGCACCAATTAGTATGTGTTATGCTGGTGTTGTGTATGCCACTGATGGGAATAAACAAAATGTCTTGAAATAGTAGAAATGCCTACATATCGCAGTCTATGTCTCCTTACTGCGTTGACTAAATGAGTCGAAACAAATCACGCAATTCGGTAGACAGAATTTCCAATAGTCGCACAGCTAACAAGTTTATGCGTACAGGTATAGGTACACAAGCTACGTGAAGCCGATGGGGAGAGATGGGGAAAGTTGATGGAGGTGGCTCACAACCAAAAGAAGAATTCACAGTGGCACCCACTGCATACCCAATTCTGTTACATTGGCATAACCGCAATGTTGCCTGAACATCGTCGATTCGCTTTACTCCTTACTAACCATTTGCCGAATTTGGCTTAGAATGTAGTGTATCCAATTTGGTAAGCAATATGTCCAATTTGTTTTACAAATTATCCAATGTGGATTGCATTAGCTTCCACTTCGTTACAACACGTCCAATTTACAGTGCAAGTTGTATAGGCAACACTTAATACCATCGATAGCCATTCTCTCCCGTCAGTGAAACTGGAAACAGTCACAAAATGGCGCGGCGAAGAAAGGCGATTAGCGACGAATCACACGTAGTTCCACCCGTACTCCGGAAAGACTGAGAAACATAGAGATGGGTTCACTGACTGATTCGAACTAGGGCCCACATTCTTGATGTGGAGATGGTGGTGAAGACAGACATGCCGAGTGTGCACGCAGAGCAGCGAGCAGATCTCAGTTTGTGCACACTGTCTTCCCAGGCCATTGTTGGCGGTCTTCTGGAATCTGTACTGAAACTGACTTCATCTGCCTAGCAGACACCTTATTAACAGATATTAAGAGTGACTAGCTCATAAAGCACCTAATACAAATGGTTTACAGAGATTTAGATTTTACTACGACTATAATCACCCAACTTTCAAGCGAGAACTTACTTGTTTCAGTGTAGTTGCAGAACCTTTTTATTTTGATCAACACCAATGTTGAAAATTACAGTGTTACTGCCAATGTCTCAGTGTAGCGGTCGAAGAGGAAACGAGAACAATACTGGGCGCGTCGTGCGATAACACGGATTGCCTCGTAGTAATACGACATCATGACGACGAAGAACTTGGTGGTGAGCCGATCGGTACCAATGAGCAATTTCCACATGTGGACCCCACAATCTCATCAAACTCTCAGCGCGGTTTATTTAGTGTTCATCCGAACACAACTCATTTAATGGAACCTTTTGTTCAATCGGCGATCAGGGCCCGACACTTGGTCGAATATGCTCGTCTGATGGTGAGTGCTTTCAGTTAACCAGGCACCCTTTATCCTTGACCAGTAGGACGAGCGAGTGCCTGCAGCACTTTCATAACTCTGATCCATTCCTTAACGTTTTTAGTACACGAATGTGATTACTGTCTTCGCGTAAATGTAATGCTTTTCATACAAAGTTTAAACGCAGCGAACTCACAAACGCTGCAAGTCAAGGAAACCCGTGGACAATTTAATCATGCAAGTACCGTAGCGGTCTGAATCTCGTCAATTCATCAGAACTGTAAAATATCTGTCTTGACGTAACTGTCGTTCATCAAATGTGATAACTACCACACAGTGGTCCTGCTCTGGTACTGACGCCGATATACTTCAGCTTTTGACTTTAATCGGAGCACACGTAAATGATTGGCGGTGGTTGCCATTGATACATTCGGTTCGGACGCTTCCTCTGTGGTGTCTACCTCAGCCACTGACTCCAGCTAATGGATGCCCAAGTGGTGGGTTCCATCGCTACTGGAGTCACGGCCTGACCCTCACTCTGTGACACGTCATGCTTACAACCTCTTTCAAATGAGTCAAATGATTACGAAATCCTGGCATTGCCTCGTTATGACTCTGGATGGTATTAACTCGAAGTGACTGGCCCAGTACCTGTCTTGATGGGGCAAGCATTGGAGCTGATATGGTTCACTCCGCTCAGTAAGATTAATAGGAAGCTCATGGATGCATAAAAGTCCGCAGCGGAGCTCATTCTGGTCCAGTTGCCCACAATAATAATACTTTTCCACGCCACCCTTAACAAGCAACCATGCAACCCGCTCGAACGAGCACAGGTAACTGAGTAAACCCTGACACATCAGGCATGAATTTCACTCAGTCAACATCCTAAATCAAAGTAGCTGAGTTGCATGGCGCAACGTGCAGTCATTCCAGTATGGGCTAATAAGATCTAATCACTGGAAAAGTAGATAGGTGACTCCCGAGCGGAGGAGTATGCCCCCAGAGCTAGGAAGGAGGAGAGGGTAAGTTGTGTGTGGGTATGATATCTTAGCAAAATGAGCTCTAACTTGTGTTCACAATCGTTATAACCGCTCTCGGTGCTGTCATTCTTGTTAACACTCCAATGTTTTGGAGTTTCCAACACGGACTTCTGGAAGGCATCCAGTATTCGCCTCCGGATTCGAAGCGGTTCCATTTTGCGTAACCTATCATTGTGCCGCAACTGCGTACTTAGCACTGGGTGCATTGAATCTTGAAGGCTAAGCGATTAAACTAACGATGTAGCGCAATATTGACGCTGCAGACAATAAACGAAAGGTATACAGTTAGTCGAAACAGTCCTCAGGACTAATTTTTGAGCAGTAGTTATCACCCGATTCGTACTGCAAAGTTGATTAAATCTGAGAAACTTTCATGTATGTACACCAACGCCCAAGGGCTCCTCAGTAAAATTAACGAACTTCGACTGCGTCAGATTGCGAATGCTTGGGACCTAATTTCTATTACCGAAACTTGGTTACATCAAGAGGTGACTGATGCTGAGGTTGAGATAGCCGGAATGTCACTCATCCGGAACGACCGCCCCAGCAGAGGAGGTGGGGTCCTACTCTACTACCGCAGCGATCTACAATGTACAATAGTTGAGGACCTGGAAACACACGTTACCGACTCACTCTGGTGCCGTCTCCGACTGAGACACAACGATACATGTCTCATAGCTATCGTTTACCGCCCCCCAACGTCCACTCTGGAAATGGATTCCTGCATGATCCGTGGCCTAAACAGAGTAACACGCACTAGGTACAGCCACACTCTCATCTCCGGGGACTTCAATCTACATGATCTGGAGGTTTCGGCATCACCCAGTGAGCAGTTCAAAGCAGACTTGCATGAACTGATTGCTAATATCCCTCTGTACAATCATGTCACCACGCCCACTAGATACAGGACAGCAAACAAACCGTCCGTATTGGACCTTGTGCTCACGAATGAAGAGCTCATGGTTGACAAGTTATTGATGGATAGTCCATTAGGTCTCAGTGACCACGTAGTAATAACTTTTGACTATGTGTGTTATGCAGAGTATCCATATGAACACTCGGAACTAACTCATACAATCACACGCTACCACGTATTGAAAGAACTCGCGGACGCAGCTTCCTGGGAATTCTCAAACAAAAGTCCCCTTGACAACGTTTGGGCAGAGTTCGTTAATAAGCTCAGTGACATCGTCAACGAAGCATCAGAGACCAAACCCCTTCGTCCCTCGAAAATGCCTTCAATTATAAGGAGTAGGACCCGCAAATGCCTGGCGATAAGGGATGCAGCATGGCGTGCCTACAAGATTAACCCAGACTCAGAGACTTGGGGAAATTTCCTGACCCATCGCAACCATTGCACCGCACTTGTCCGTCAGGACAAAATAACGTATCAACAGTGTCTAGCCAAAAAATTCATGACAAACAACAAACTGCTGTATAAGCATGTCAATAAGCTTCGTAAAGTGAAGCATGGAATACCCCCACTATTCACGACAGGCGGTAGAGTACAAAGCGCCGAAGAAGCAGCTAATGCACTGCGGCTGCAATACGCACCAATTTTTGAACTCGCAACATCTACCTGTCCCATAATATCAAGCTCATTACCGACCCCTCTGTTTACAAATGTTATTTTCAACCCATCAATTGTGCTAAGGAAGTTACTCTCACTGCGCGAACATAGTTCTCCGGGAGCAGACAACATCCGCCCGAAGGCACTGAAGGCTGTGGCTAATAAGCTAGCTGAACCACTGTCACAGTTCGTTCAAAGGTGCTTTGATGAACAACGTGTCCCCACTATGTGGAAGTGTGGCATTATAACCCCTATTTTTAAAGGCGGTAGCCGTTCCGATCCTGCAAACTATCGTCCAGTGACTCTCCTCCCTGTGCTCGCGAAGGTGATGGGAGCAGTCGTCGCTGAGGCTTTGATGGACTATCTGGAAAAATGCAACATCTTGGTAGTGGAACAGCATGGCCTCCGTCAACACCGGTCATGCACCACCAACCTACTTATTGCTCGAGGTAGTTGGACGGAAGTGGCTGATGATGGGGTCGGAGTCGACGTCATCTATCTGGACTTCTCCAAAGCTTTCGACCGCCTCGATCACCGCATCCTACTTCAACGGCTTCAGAGTTACGGAATCGGAGATCCTGTACTTGGTTGGATTGGCAACTTCCTTTACCAACGAAAGCTCCAAGTACGTGTTAGGGGATCACTTTCTAACCCAATTGAGGTGGAATGTGGTGTCCCGCAAGGCTCAGTGCTGGGACCGCGCTTATTCCTGGTGTTTATCAACGACCTGGCAAGAGTCATCTCCTCAAACTTCCTGCTTTTCGCCGATGACGTCAAGATATGGCGGGCGATTAGTAACAAGGCAGATCAGGATCTGCTCCAACATTACCTAGATTGCATTTATGAATGGTCAAAGAGTAACAAGCTTCAATTGAACATGGCTAAGTGCAAAGTGATGCATCTGCGTCACCAGCTGGTGAGCGCCTACAAGATTGGAGACCACACCTTGGCAAAGGTTTCTCATGAGCGGGACCTGGGTGTATTGGTACAGGAAGATCTCGGGTGTTCCAAACAAGCAGAGAAGGCGACGAGGACCGGAAATCAACACTTCGGCCTTCTTCGCAGAGCCTTCGGTCGGTTTGAACCATCAATCTTTCCCCAAATGCTTAACGCCTACGTGCGCCCGCATGTGGAATATGCTATTCAGGCGTGGCAGCTGTGGCAGAAACAGGATCTCATTGCTCTCGAGACTCCTCAACGACGGGCAACCAAGAACGTCAGGGGCCTCTTTCATCTGCCCTATCAGCTTAGACTGAAATCTCTAAGAATGTACAGCAGTCGATATCGGCTTTTGCGGGGGGATCTCATAATGGTTTACCAGATTCTGAAGAACCCAAACCACATTTGCCGTCCGCTGCTGGAATTGAACCCCAACATTAAACTAAGAGGTCACCCTCTGAAACTGACAATTCATTACAGCCGGCTTGAATGCCGTAGAAATTTCTTTTCTCTCCGCGTGTGTGAGCCTTGGAATGCCCTCCCTACTTATGTCGTCTCTGCTCCCAATCTGGCGATATTTAAAAAACGTGTTGACGATGCGTTGTCTCACTTACATTTCCTTTTATGACTTGTTAGCCAGGGGCTACAAAACGCAATCAAACGGTTTCTTGCCAAACGCTCAACCATTGGATTTATGGATTTTTATGTTTAATACGCGAACATCTCCGCTATTTCACATAAGTCTATGGTGAGTCCACCACAACGCTTTTCACTTTATTACGCAATTTACTTTCGCAACAATTTCCATCCCACGGTACTTGTTAAGCGATGCTTTTTTACCCGTAATAAACCATTGTCCATTGAATAGTTTCTGAGCATTTCATTGCTTTGCACAAAAACCGTTAGGACATACATTGCAATAGGTATCTTTCTTAAAAGCGAAGATTTGTTTACCTGATTTCTTATCGGGGATTACTGGACATGGCTTAACAATCATCAGCTAAGTCTCTACCCATTGCAAACGTCTCCCCCTGCCGAACACGAAGTAAATCAGGATAATTCAGCGGTGTTTAAATAAGGTTTGACAGGAAACACTAAATCTTTAAAATCGTTGGAACTCATTCACGAGTTCCTAATAAGGCATTTAGGATTTGTTTTGAAATACTTCCACTGGAAAAATAATTTCTTGGTTTTTGGATACCTTTCGCAATACAGAGAAGGCTGACATCAACTAGTAGCGCAAAGCAGCTGCACTGACACACATTAGCGAGGTGAGATACAAACCAAAACATGACTGTCTATTAGTTGGCTATAAAATAATACACCTACTTTGGATCCCTAGTTTTTGTGGTTATTACGTTTCCTTATCCTCGTCGTTGAGGAGGGTCCTAGTGCGACTATAAAACTTTTGACAGATAGGAATGTGCCACGTGTTCTTCATTAGAACAACGTCCGACCCATGCCAACACCCGAGAATCACCGAGAAGCACCACATCATTAGTAGCTATCATGTTCCACCGACACATTTATTTATTTCACTACTTGTAAAACAACGCCAAGAATGTTATTGCATTTGTATTTATGGTGGTTTAAGCTCACGATGAGTATTACATTATTTATCTGCTTCTAGGCGTTAGTACGCCCAACGATTTTAATAACCTCTGGTTGGGCAAATTGTACTACAGTATTACTATATCCAACCAAATTGCGCAGGTAAACTCGGTGGAGGCTCATGGCTGTCGCTTTCCTCGTTACGTCTACCCAATTTATAGGTGCCACCAGAAAATCAGATCTACTATGATGTCATCGCTCCGGACACACTGACGTTGGAGGACAAGATAACATGCAGACGCTTTCCGTTGGACCCATTTTCCGACAAAGAGCATGCGAGATATTTAGAACAACTATGTCGTAATATCCACACTCTGTTCGAAGGAACGCTGGAGCGAGAGATGAACCGCCGCCTTGGAAAAACTCCTGACCAACAACTAAGCAAACTTGAAGCCTGTGACAATGACGACGGCGAGCTGCTCTGGAGTCCTGAGTTCGAGATCTCTGCCCATCTGGAAAGATGTGAGAGCTTGTACGTATTCACACAACTGGTGCAATACTTGATGTATTGGGACATATCAAGTGCTTTTGTTAACAGCTTAATAAGTTAGTATTACTCCCACCATAGTGAAGGTTGGTGTTCCGTGTTTTTTTAATATCCATCCTAACGTAGCAGTTGTTCAGTGGACACTGATCCAAGTCACCAATAATCCAGTCAAGCAATGAGAACACAATACCGAGATGGACAGCAATCGACTTTTAGGTAACGCAGCAAATAGTAGAGAGAAGGCGCGGAGATGAAAATGAGTAGCACTGCGGCACCCAATAATTGACAAATGTCATCTTCCTAAGTGCCATAGTCGCATAACAACACTGCGTGTGAGAACGTACCGGCTCCTTTACGTGCAGTTTTTGTCCGTAGGTTGATGTGTTTGGGACCTGAATATTTGTCCTGATTTGTGTTAGCTTTTCTCTTTCCATAATGACATTAACATCTTTTTCCGCTTAGATTATTGTTATTAGAAATAGCTCCCGCTGAGCTCTAAGAGGGTGAAAATCACATGAAGAGGAATGTGCGATTGGCCCAGACCAGGTGCTTTCGCCCTAGTAATCCCCAAGACCCGTTTAGATATTAATTTTCGCCGCAACGGTATGGTCTGTGTATAAACAAGTAGGAAAAATTCTTTTCTTCAGGTCCAAAGAATTTATTGCCCACCAAGACATACTTGACGAAGTCATCAGTTGGATGAACTCTAACATTCACTCACCATCGGAAATGGGCGGAGAGTTTGCATTGCTCACCGTTATGGGTCAATCGGGAAGTGGGAAATCTGTCTTTTTAGCAAAACTAGCCCAACTACTATTGGAAGGCAACTGTTTAAAAGAAAAGTAAGTCAAATGCGGTGAACTGCTGGAATGGATCGCATGTTTACATGCACATCCAACGTACTAATGAACTTGGAGTAGTTCACATTGTAGTTAGTTTCAATGAAACTAGGGCAATTCATTATTTTTCGTTTACATTAAAAGGTAGCCAGTAATTACAGTATGAAGTGTCTGGGAATCTTAGCCCCCTCAAGTATACCTTCCGGTTGTCGCAGACCATTGTATTTACTCTAAGGCTGATGACCGAAAGAATGGCGGGTTGTGTAGGAAATCTTTCCATACTGGGTTACCACTTGCAAACAGTGCTTTGTGGATTACCGAAAGCGTGCTGCAATGTGGCCGGGAATTATTAGTATGAGCGAAAGTAAGTGAACATCGGTGATTTGCCTAAAATTGTTACGGAAGCGTGCGCGCAGTTGTTAGGGGGGACTACTTGGATCGATATGTGCAGCCTGCCACGTTAGTACTATTGTAGCGACGGCGACTTTTTGCGACTGAGCTTCAAGCCGGCTTCCTCCAGTCTTTGTAACACCGCTGCGAGTCGGGCACCATGATCATCTTCCGTCTCCGAGAAAATAATGATGTCATCCCCATAAACAACCACATTTTTGAGGTTCTCCAGAACCATAAGTAGTAAGCGCCTGAATGTTGCCGGGGCGTTGCACAGTCCAAACGGCATTCTCAAGAATTCGTACTGTTGGCCATTTACGCTGAAAGCTGTTTTATACCTGTCTTCCTCTGCAATGGGGAGTTGCCAATAACCCGAACGTAGGTCTATCAATGAAATCAGCTTGGCATTGTGAAGATTGGAAAAAATTTCTTCCATTTGGGGCATTGGAAAAGCGTCTTTCACCGTAACTCTATTCAGCTCCCTGAAATCGATGCAGAATCTGTAGCTTCCGTCTGCCTTTCTCGTCAACAATACGGGAGATGAATACGGACTGTTTGTTCGTCTGATGATGCCTTTGGCCTCCATTTCAGCCACCTGTTTCTGTATCTCCGCCAGAGTGTTCTGCGGTATCCGCCTGAAAATCGGCTTGCACTGCCCACCCGGGATTAGAGGTATCCGATGTTCTACCCAGCTGCAAAATCCGTAATCATCATTCACATCCGTGAACAAATGCGCATACTTCTGAAGCACGTCCCTTATTGCACGGTTCGGGCACTCGGGAAGAACCGTCACGGCCCCTATGTGGTCGCGTTTCCCTGGGCTCATCTCGATCGTCTCACTGCTCACTATGACAACATTCTTCCTTAAATCCATGGTTACACCCAACCGCTTAAGGATGTCGTTACTGATTATTGTCTTCGTTGCCCCCCCACAACGACGAACATGGAGTGACTAATGACCGTTTTTCCGATTCTCACTCGTAATCGCCGAGCCCCAGTAACCTTCAAGCGGTGTTCTCTGAGTGTTTGCATTGCGATTGACGACTAGAGTAACGGGACACACTGGAACCTTTTCGTAATGGAAGCGCCGGCTCCCGTATCTATTATCGCATAAACTACGACACCCTCAATTGTTATTTCTAGGGATGGTGCCCGCCATCGACCCGACAAAGATAAAGATAAACAACGGCAAAAATTTCTTTTTGTACAATATGCAGCGTAATGACCCAGCTGGTTGCATCGGAAGCAGCGGGGCCTATCTCGTCTTCCGGGCGCATTGCGTTGTGTCTCGGTTCTCGAAGGTTCGCTCACCAACCTCTCAACCATGCGCGAAAGCTGGTCTATTTTGCCTTACAACGCGGACGGTTCGATTGTCCCTATTTCCACGGGCCCGACAAAACTCTGCGCCACAGCCACAAGGTCTTCTGCCGTACTGACCCCAACCATGGATGCCAATTTCACTTCGTCCTGAATGGGTTTGGGCAAACTTCGGACAAATTGGCCTCTCAGTAGTCGATCTCACGCGCCGCCATCCAACTCAGGGAGCGCCACCTACAAGTGTCTCTTCAGCAGCTAAAAGAACACCACCAAATATTCTTGCTCTTCCCAATTGGTTGAGTGGAACTGCTCGAGCGCATGTTGCCGATCGTTTTCCATACCGAATTCCGCACACAGCGGAGCCTTCATCTCGGTAAACACGTTGCCAGCCTTGGCCTTCCTCGTTAGCTGGTAGGTCACCTTTGCTCTCCCCGTCAGCATCGTGCCCAAAGCGGTCAACAAATTGGCATTTCCTTTGATCCCGTTGCACGCCGCAATGGCCTCAAATCCCCCCAACCACGATTCCACATCTCCCTCTGCGAACGGCGTTGGCCACTGAAACTTCATGCAGATTGGTCACGACACCAGTGTAGCAATGAAGCACGATCTTTATTGGCGCGAACACACACACACACACACCCTACCACTCACATAGGCGCATATTAATGAGTCAGGTTTCTTCCCCTCGTTGCACCATCCCTCCTGGCCTCCGCTCGTGGCACTTCTATGCTCCTTCTGGGGGGTACGGGAACGCATCTTCTACGTCCGTTTTTCCCGTGTATCTTCGCTTCCACGCCTCCGATTCTGACAAGCCCGGCGTCGTTCGATAACGTGCACTTTGCTTGACCGTGGGTGTATCACTCTCCCTGGGGTTGTTTCTTGAAGATGCGATACCAGCGGTTTTGTCCGATTTACTGCGTCTTCAAAAAATTCTCCACCTGCTTTGCCTGCCTCGGGCTCACCCACGGATGCCGCTCCTGTTCCGTTTTCGTCCCGTTCTAATGGGCCTGGGTTTCTCCAGCGAATCGCCCCCATTGCATCGGTCTCCCTATTCGTCCGCCTTTGTTTTAATGACCTAACCGTCCTTTGTGCAAGCGCTGCCTTCCGCCTCCCTACACTATGGTTAGAATATATAGTTTACTGAAGATGCACAGGGCAGAATATCTAGCTGTGTCGTCTAAAATTGTAGAGGTCTGTCACAGATCTCTACCCACTGATCTCGAGTGCATCTCTGGATACCAAAACCTGGAGAGCCGAAACAAGTAGGAAAACGGCCGAAGGGTGCGGAATTTCGGGGCGCACATCGCTCTAGATTCATTTCCATTGAGTGAGATGATAATGTTTGCCTCAAGGTAAGTCCAAACTGGATTTTGTGTCACAATATAAACACGAAGCGAGTACTTTAGGAGTTTAAACAGTGTGAATCCACGAGTCCCATTATTTGATTGGCCATACTTCCATGTCCCTGCTGTTTGTGCACAAAATCAATAGATGACGTGATCGAAATGACACCATACTACTTGAACTTAGACCGTGCCTTCCTTTGAGAAAATGTATTAGTTATCTCTGTCACTGGGACCATTTGCTACTCGGAAGCTGAACGTGATCTCTCGACCGATGAGCGTACCCCTTTCGCGAAATTCGTTACGCTACCGTTACGTTGTTAACGGATAAACCTAAAGCTGGCGATTCATATCCCGGCTTCAGCTATCATTACATGAAGCACCTAAACTGGGACAAATTCAGACGTTGAAAGTAGTGCTGAAGGTGAGTAACCCGGGAAACTGCTCAGTCGTGCTCTTCTTTCACATCAACCTCTTATTCGAACTTTAGAACGGTGTTATTTACTTTAGAAAACTCGCCAATTCTCCAGTAACGTCCGCATGGTGACACGTGTGCTTATCGTGATGGAAGCTGTTTGATGAAGTCACTCGAATCGTAACATAAGTTGAATACTCTAGCTTATTCCTATTAATCTTACGCTCAGTACTTTTTTATTAAAAGCTCACAAATGATTTACGGTACTGCGACTTAGAAGCCGTTGAAGATGCTGTTTTATTGCTGAGTCAACAAAACATACTTAACAGTTTGTTACTAGGGATTAATCATTCTAGACAAAGGTTTCTTCCCGTTTATTGTCTCATCCGTAGAAAAGCTATTTTGTTCAGAATGGAGTGCATAGTGACGTGTTTTATTCGTTTCTAGTACATAGTTCTGTCAAGTTCAGAGCTACTTATGCAGACATCCTCTTTCTTACGATCATTACGCAGGACTCCGATACCTAAAGGAAGCATGGTGATTACATTTTATGGACAGCTTGCACCACTATATAAGCTACAAATTAATAAATGGACCTTAATATATGTTCATGACAGTATCGCAAAATGGGTGTACTTTAGGCGAATTGAACGCCAATTCTCCACGTTTGTTTACTCTACTGGGTTATAGCGCTGCACGGTCACACAGACTAACAATTATGAAAACGGATGCCCCCTCCTGCTATCCCCAAATTCAGTTTATCAAGAGCAATGGGTTATGCAGCAAAGAAGTACCAGTAGAATGGACACAGCATTCCTGTTGTTAATGACAAGATTGCACCTCGCTTAATACTAGGGACACAACT